GGGGGTCCCTGTGCCCCTGTGAGTCCCTGTGGGGGGTACCTGTGCCCCTGTGGGCATCAGTGCCCCGGGGGTACCTGTGCCCCTGTGGGCAGCGCGGGCGCAGCCGCCGGAGCGGAGCAGGACGAGGCGGAGGCCGCAGGTTCCGAGCACCCTCAGGGGCAGCCGCGCCGCCATGTCCGGGGGGCGGGACCGGGCAACGCGCCGGGCGCGTCTGATCCGTGCGCTCAGCCTGAGCAGTCAGACCTTACAAGAGCAATGAGTAAAGAACTCGCTTAAATGCCGATGCAGCATTTGCAGGTAAAGGTTTCGACCACTTCTTACCGAGAGGCAAAGAGACCAGCTTAAAAAATCAACAATCGCTGCAGCTATAAATATAACAAAATCCTGCTGAGGCGTTTGCTTGCAGCCACTGTAGGTTGTTTTTAAGGAGAACAAGTCTGGTGCTTGCATGCCCAAGTGCTCTTGCTGTCCTGGATGCATGTTACGGGCACTGCTCTCGCTGATCGAGGGATGGCGAAGGTGCTGTGCTGTCTGAGGGGTACTTGTTAGCGGGTGCGATTTGCAGGCACAGCTGCTTTGACTTGGTCTATAAATATACCTGTAGTAGGACATGTGTTTTAGTTTGGCCTCCTGTCCTTAAAAGGTAAACCTAAACACAAGTTAGTTTTCCAGGTTAAGCCTTAATGCTGTTGTCTGCTTTTTTCCCCCAGTAGTTCCATTTCTGATTTGGTTCATAATTTCTGAAGGATGTGGAAGGAACTGTTTTGATTGCATTGGATAACAAAATTAGTAATGGTGTTTAATAGAAAATTGCTTTCTTTCTAGTCTCGTTCTTCTAGCCTAATTCTGAAATCAAAGCTAAAAAAGTAGTGTTGTGTGATCAGTCCTGTATATACACATTTATTGAACCATTCTTATGTCTAAGATAGTGAGTTCAAAGGCAGCTGAGGACATCCAGCACAGCATATGATCAGTACCATGGCTCTAATTACTCCCTCTGCTTGGATCCACGAAGTATTGCACCAAAAGATGGATATCAGCAAGGCTCGTAGATGGTTGCATTCACTACCTGCTGCAGTAGGGGAGAGGGGGCATACGCTGGATTTATGGGTTTGTCCTGTGTAATAAGACACTGTGGAATGAAGCCAGAGTACCTTGAGAAAAATCCTGGAGATGTGATGGCTGTGAGCCCTCAGGATGTTAGGAGAGGAGTGCTGCTGGGCAGGGAGGAGAGGGCTTTGCCGAGGCTCTTGGTGCTCGCAGGGGGCAGTGTCCGTGCTGTGGCAGAGGGACAACATTTTGCCATGTTCGGCCATTTGGGGAAATAACGATCAAAGGTCTTTTCAAACCACTTCTTGCTCACCCCTGTGACATCTTATATCGGTTGTTTAGCCATGCATTAGGAGGGAGCTGGTACATTTTAGAGGGCCTTTGGAGAGGAGAGAGCCAGTCTGACACTCCCCCAGTTCTGGCAAATGGCTTAGGTCTGGAAAGTGGTGGCAGGCGATGGTGTCACTGTCTCCAGTTCAACTGTGGAAAAGAGGCATTTCCCTCACATTCCTGGTCTTGATCTCAAGTTGTGTTTGCTGCTGAGGAGGACAGGTAATCAATGGAGTTCTCCCTGAAGTATCTGGGAAATGAAGGAGGGTGAGAGAAACTTGCATGTTTTCATGTAATTGACATTGATTTAACTGGTGATTTTTTTAAAGACAAATAAAAAACAAACCGTCAATATCTTCCTTGTGGCTGTTAAGGGTACCATCCCAAAATGCAGCACTTTTGAGGCAGCGGGAACAAAACTAACACAGGTCTGTTGCTGTGCCATTTTCCTTGGGCTGTGAAGGAGGGAAGCAGGCACCTGGGCCGTGCACCTAGGGGAGCAGTGGGAACAGAAGGAGCAGAAGCCATCAGGCACATCAGCCCAAGCTTCATCATCCCCTCAGTTACCCAGTTCATTGCAAACCACACCTTGATTAAAATGAGGGTGGTGGTGGTGGAAGAGGCAGATCCCATTCATCCCAGCAGCCATGATCCATATTTGAGGTGGTGCACTGGCAAAGCAGATCCTCCCTTTTTCCTTCCAGCTGAAGCCTGACCTGCATTCATCCAACTAGCATGACAGGCCTTCCTCAAGTGGTAAACAACCCCCCCTGGCTGGAGGTATTTAATTTTTCAGATCTTTGGTCCTGAAAAACCAAATCATTGTCCTGTCATGCCTGTAATATTGCCTCCCATAGTTACAGCACATACCAAGCTGTGTAGCTAGGCAGACATCCGGCCTGCATTTCTCCCTATAGACTGTTATAAAAGCCAATTAGGCTGTTACTTAATTTTCCTCCCTTTTCTTTTTTCCCTTCTGCACAAGGGGAAGCAGTTAAAAGTCTCCCCTAGCTACATTATGTAAATTTTCAAGTAAATTCTCCCTGAATTGTAATTCAGCAGGTTTATTGTTAAAAATGTCACCTGACTCCAGTGTGTACACAAGCTGCATCCAGGGAGGGGTCACACAATGTCCTATTAGATGTGTGTAGATGGGGGAGAAGCTTCTCAGCACCTCCTGTAGTGTTACTCAGCAGCAGCAGCGTGTGTGTGGGCGGGTGAAGGCGAGAGTAGGAGGGAAGCAGGCACGGTCCAGACTATCCTGCTAATATTTATTCGGACTCTAACCACTTCCCAGTCCAGGCTTTGTCTTGACTGATGGCTTTGGGGACAAGCAGAGCATGACATAATGCCTACGCTGGCAGATACTGAGCAGTCAGCCGGGAAGCAGTGAAGTGAAGAAGTCAGATGAACCCTGCTCAAATTCAGACCTCTGCTTATGCAGCTTTTGTTAATAAAGCCCCTCGATATTACTACGTATGGAAGAAAACACTGAAACTGTGGTGGTTTTATTTTGTATGCATTTGTATGCAATCAGTTTTCTTCTGCTCACTTTATCATACCTAATGTATGTCCCCTCCCATGAGATGTTCCCATTGAAACACGTGGGAACTCAACATGCAAGAATTTATCTTGGATCTGTCCTATGCAGTGGTACTGTGTGCCCAGGACTCTGGGGAATGAAGAACAGGGGACTGGCATGAGCCCTTCGGGGGTAGATTGTATCTGTGGTGGGCTCCATTTTCCCCCACAGAATCCTTAATGCTCTTGCAGGAGATATCGCAGGAACTCCACATTCTTCCTCAGCAGTCTTCCCTCTCCTCTAATAGACTTGATACAACTCCCCAGCCAGTTCCTAGCCACTCAGGTGTGATGAAAACTCTGAGCCCTTGGTATGTGGAGATACTGTTTTCATATGCAAATGCTATCCAAAGATATGTGGTAATGCTCTGGTGCTGAATTCCAGTGAGGGAGAGGGATTTCAGCAAAATTTAAAGTGTCAAAGCACCTCAGAAAAGGGTATTGCTGGTTTCCAGAGGCACAGAGAGACTGAACAGAGCTCTGGACCTCCCTGAAGCTGACCCAGGGATTCTGCTTAGATTCATTTACAGAGTGGTCTGATGTGATTCAGGCAAAGACATCATCAGAAATAATGAACACACAACTTCTTGCTTTGCTTGCTTTATGGTTTAATATACCTTTTTGCTAATTATAAGCTACAGGATACCTGATTATTCTGGCCTTTGTTTTTAGAAAAAAATAGGTTGACTAGCTTAAGCATGAGCCTTCTGCAGGAGTCTAAGGGTGGAATTTGAACAGAACAAGATAGAATAGTTCCAGTTGGAAGGGACCTACAGATTTGGTCCACTGTGACAAATGCTTTGAGATGGATTAGACCAAATGCCCTCCCTAGGTCCAGTCCAGCATAAATTATTCTAGGATCCTAAATGTTTTGAGAAGTGTCTTGCAGAACAAGTGAAGGCATGAATTCAAAGTGAAATGGATATTTTGCAGTCACTCCTTGATAGAGAACTCTACTCTGCAACTGGGCCATTGGTTCAGCTAAAAGTAGACACACAGGCCTGTATGGGCTATGTGTATCTGCAGGGGCAGCTATTGGGAAGCAACAACTCCAGGCTATTTCCCTGGATTGCCCTATGCATCCCCTGTATCATACTGTCCAAATTTCTCGAGCCACATAGACAGTAATAATACATTCCACAATCTTGTGTGTGATTTCCTATCCCTTGTACCTCAAGGCAGTGAAGAAGTGGGATGGTTCTTCCACCCAGTACCCAAAGCCTGAACAGACCATTGAATGAACAGTTATTTGGCAGCATCTGTCATAGCAGCAGCTTTCTGTCGGCTATCTTAATGGATTTATCACACTCTGAACTAAGCCCTGACCATCTGTTCTATCCTGTCGTTACAAATGCGGAAAAAGCTAATTCATGATTGCACCATAAAAAAGTAAAATATAAAAGATTTAATGATTATATATATGATTAATGATATCAGTGATTAAAATTTAATAATTTTAAGTGTCATGCTTCACACTCTGATTGGGGAAGTGGCTCTCTTCAATAGGCTGACTTCCCTGATAACAGAGTTTGCCTCTTTCCCAGCAAACAGGAATTCCTGAGGAAAAGGCCTCACCAGAACAAGTTTTATTCCCAGTCATTCATCTTAAATGTATTTTTAAATCTGGGATTCACGTAAGTGAAGTTATGAATCTTCTTTCTTTCTCTCATAGGTGAGCCCCCAAGGTTTATTTTTAATGAATTTTTTATTCAGGGAAAGGACAAATTCATGTTCTTTAAAGTCTGCCCAAAGTCTGCATTTCCTCCATCTCACCTTCACTTAGATGCAGGCACTTCTGGAAGAGTCACCCACTGGTTTTGTGCTGGTGACTCACCTTCACTGTAGTGCTCTTGGTTAGAAGATAAGCAGAAAGCAGGAGGCTGTGTGTGCGTTCCCTGCTGTCGAGTGACCTTCAGATCTTTTGTACTGCCACTGTCCCACCAGCAGCAGAATTGGTTTAGCTGGGAATTCAAGTTCTGATTGACCTGTGTTGTGAGAATAAGACCTCCTGGCAGCATCTGTCCTTTGGAAATGTTCTACTGCAAACGGATGTATTTGAACAAGTTAAGAGGTCAAGAAGTAATATCTTGGTCCTAAATTTTTTTATGTGGTACATCCTCCTGAACCAGCACCTCTTACCAGTGTGAAGTGTTGTCTGCAGCAGCTTCAGCAGAGCTTTCAGCACCCCTAAAGGCTGTGACCCAGCGGGAGTTTGATGGGGCGCTTGAACACACTGCCAGCTCCCTGTGAGAGACACCTGCCCTGTGGCCAGACAGGAAAGCTGAACTTGCCTCTTGATTTCACTAGGGAAGGAATTATGGAGTAATGAACAGGACTGTTGATAAAGTACGTGGATAGTGGAGGGTGGGAAATATCTCGAAATTAATTTGGTATCTGTGTTTTTGGAGGCTGTTTTGTTTCGGTTTTATTTTCCCAGCTATATAAAAGCAGATTGTGATTTTATCAAATGGATGTGTGATTTGAAAAATAAGAAATGTATTAAGGTAGAAGCAGTGCAAGAGACTCTAGTTCAAAAAACTGCTTAAGGGATGTGCAGGTACACAGTTCTGCACTACTTGTGTGCCTTAAACTCATTCTTTCAGCAGTACTTAAAGATTCAGTTAAAAAAATTGGTCACCAATTGTCTGTTGGAAAAGCTAGCATTCTGTTCTCAAGGCATGAGCTCGTTTTCCATTTCATGAAAATGGAGTTCCTGGTGGCAATGTGGCCCAGCATATCCTGTTCCCGGAGAAACAGGAGTTGGGTTTCATTTCCAGTACCTATCTGAACAACTCTGAGCTGAGCAAAAACTTCTCCTCCAGATTCATGTGATATAAAGACTGGCCAGGTCTGCAGGGACAACTACTTCTGTGGGAACTTCAGGTGAGGAGCCTTTTAAAAGACAGAGAGTACTGAGTCAATGCAGCTGTGATAAATGTTTTGGTCCATATTTGCTCCACAGGAAGAGGGTAGAAAGAATCAGAGCAGGCTTTAGGTTTCACTTAAAGTATGGTTCCACACCATACTGCCATTCATGTAGCATGGACAATTATGGTAGGTCATGTGCTAGCACATTTATTAGTGTGTTGCTTTAATTTTTGAGTGGCAAGCAAAGATACCTTCCCACCCCACCTAATGTTCAGCAGTGTTTCAGTATCAAAACTGAGCACAGACCTGACTGAAACCTGTACTGCTGCTTACTGCTGAATTTCTGTGGTAAGTAAATACACAACAAGTGGCAACAATGCACTAAATCAGCAGCAGCCCCATGGTGAGGCAATGGAACAGGTTGCCCATAGAAGCTGGGGATGCCCCATCCTTGGAACTGTTCAAGGTCAGGTTGAATGGGGCTCGGAACAACTTGGTCTGGTAGGAAGTGTTCCTGCCCACACCAGGTGGGTTGGAATGAGATGATCTTTAAGTTCCTTCCCAACTCAAACCATTCTATGAATCTGTGACTCTCATCCCTCCTCTGTCCCATGGTAACAAAAGCTACAGACTAATCCCTGTGTAAATAACTGCAGATTTCTGACCAGAGGTTTTGCTCTGAAGAAGGTGCCCTGACTGTTGGAGCAGTGTGATCCTTGGCATGTGTAACACTGCATCCTGAACTTGGCCTGTATTTCATGTTATTTGTGTTT